CTTAAGCCAATAAATACACATTAATTTGGGAGGCTAGCAAACTTTTTCGGGGGTCATTAGGCCGGACGACGCCCATACATACAAATGTATGAAAACTACGAATACCTACAAGTTAATGGGTTTATTTAAAACCATAAAAACAGTATTGGTTTAACCGGCCTTGATACTGTCCAACGGCAAATTAAATGCGTAAATGTAAAGCTGCAGGTGCGCCGACTCTTGCTCCATGCAGGCATTTCTAACAAATAGGTCAAACTGCCTGCAAATTCCGCCTGACAAAAGCATTTAAAATAAACCCCTCACGCTCTTGGGCGTTTTTGTATAATTGCTGAATTAACCCGATCGTTAAATAATATCCCATTATTAAACGCACGATTATCCAAAGCACGCTTAAAAGTTTTTACGTATACGAGTATCTTATAAAAAAAAAAAACTCGCCAGTAACATGGTCTCCTGCAAACAGCCCTATATATACTTCGATAAATATATTCAGTTGTGAACACTAATGCAATTATTGTTTTAGAGAAAGCAATAACGCAATTGCGTTGGGCGCACTGATATAAAATAACCCAATTTACTTACCAAAATCACTCATTGATTCGTTTTCCTCCATCCCGAGTTACCTACTAAGGGGCGCCGCCGCTAACTAGCAAAAACAATTAAAAGGCGCATTTGAGGAAAGTCCATTTCGGACGAAGGCCAGGGAGGGCCGCAGGGCGAGGGCGGCAGAGGGAAGGCTGATTGACACTTTAGATGAGAATGATGAGATTATCCGCCTCAAAATGTCCATTAATTCGTCAATGAGCAGTCGCAGAGTATAAATGACCAAATACTTGAAAAGGACGTTAAGCCGTTAATGGTTCCTTCCAGTACGCGTGTTACCCGTTTGACAAACGCCGTCGAAGTAACTGCGGTTTGTGCCTGCTACTTTGGACGATTTAAGTGGATATCGTGTAATAAACTGATTAATCAGATCATGATTTTGCATTCCCTTCCGAATAAAACTACAGGTAGCGTGATATAGCTATATAAATGAAGTAATAATATTTAAAAACCTAGTCGTATTATGGAAAAGGAGATAACAGCCAAGCTCTCAATATACAATAACTTTAATATTTATTAAATATTATTCCCCTTTTGTGTCAGTTGTACCTGATTTGTAATAATTTCCGCACCTGTTAGTTATTCTGGTGAATATAATTTCTGGAAACCTCTGGACAGTGTGTATTTATGAGGTTTCAGACGTTTGTTTGAACAATGGAAGAGGTCTGCGTTACTTAACAGTAGATTTATAGTTTTGAGCTAGATACAGAAACTTTACTGCGTCTGTGTATTTTACAGTTGTTAGCAAAACAGTTCCGTGTTCTAAAAAACAGTTTAAAGTTAATTGATACAGATGCAGCTTAAAGAGTTGGGTATCCTGAATGCAGACATTACATTCTGGATAGGAAATGGTGCACGATGAGCAACCAAGCCCCCAAAATAGCCATAGTATTTAAAATGAATCGTTTTGCTTTTGCGTGTCATATGAAGTCCCCCCCCCCCTCTCCTCTCCTCTCCTCTCATCTCCCTCTATGACGCCCGAAATGTACTGGCTCGCTGCTCTGCGGCGCAGCCGAGCAGAACTGGCCCACTTCGCCGGTGGCACTGGGGGACAGAAGGGGGTGCATGGTGGGAGAAATGAGGCAAGCGGGAGTTACAGGCGGGGACAGATTCACCGGGAGCTGGAGACGCGCGAGGAGCCCCACTATAACCCCAGTTCATAAATTCAAAATGATACAATATGCCTGTGAGGCAGTGACGTCACTCTTCCACTTAGAGCGCAAGAGTGCCAGGTGTGGGGGCGGCCGTTCTGTTTACGGAGCGGGGAAGCTAAGGATATGAAGATTCTCTTTCTTAGTTTAATTAGTTAACAGCCTGAATGGGACAGGCTACTGTGTTACATTAGTGCTAGCAACGGGCTATTTCACTTTAGTGGTGTTTTTGTTAAAGAAATAAATTCTATTTCCACCTGGAACATTAATAACAATGTCTGTGAATTGCTATGGGGAGGATTTGAGGAGATGTCCCTATGTTGAAGGGGGATCCATTTCGAGCCGCGTCAGCTTCCGCAGTTCGGCACGGCGAGGAGGGATCCTGCACTCTGTGGATGCTGTTTTGGGAGTGGTGGAATCAGAGTCCTTTTTGTACATTTTGTGTTGGTTCAGATGACAACATAGAACATACAATATGCAATCACAGCTCCCAAAAAACAAAAAGTAGCAATATTACATTTGATTGAAACAGCTGATGTGAGATTGAAATGATTTAGGGGCTGTGTGTGTCTGTGTGACCAATACCGCATCAATTGGTTTTGGGGATGACATACAAGTCCTGCACAGTGGCCAGAGGGATTCTGAGCTGTTCCCCTTGCAGATGCTGGTGGAACAAAAGGTTTCCTGACTCGCTCCTCAAACACCCCAAAGTGGCTCAATATTCAGATTTGGTGACTGCAGACCATGGGAGATGTTCAGCTTCACTTTCATGTTCATCAAACCACTCTGTCACCAGTCTTACTGTGTGTATTGGTGCATTATCCATATGCACAGCACCACCTTCAGTACAATGTTTGAACTGCTGGGTGAACATGGTCCTCCAGAATGGTTTGGTAGTCCTTGGCAGTGATGCATCCATCTCGAAGTAGTGGGTCTAGGGAGTGCCATGATATCACAGCTCAAACCATCACTGATTCACCCCATGCTGCATTCTGGGTACACAACAGCCTGGGTTGTAAGCCACTTTGGGGCTTCTCCACACTGTAACTCTCCCAGATGTGGGAAAGACAGTGAAGGCGGATTCATCAGAGAATAATACATTTTTCATATTATCCACAGCCCAAGAGTGTACATGTAATTCTGCAGTGAGTTGGGCAGCTGTGGTTTTATGTTTTTTGGATACAGTCTGGGTTAGTGCCCAGACATCCCTGTCGGACAGCTTCCTCTTCTATCTGCTGTTACTCCTGTTGGATGTGGTCTGTCCTCCATTGGTGGTATGTTGACACTACCCTGGATTCCGTGGCTCTCTACACCACAAGGACTTGCTGTCCTGGTTACAGATGCACCAACAAGAGCAGGCTCTCATTGTCATCAGGCCTGGGCTCCTTCTCCCCCTGCAGAAGCATGCTCTCATTGTGTTCAGGCCTGATCTCCTTCTCCCCCTGCAGGAGCAGGCTCTCATTGTCATCAGGCCTGGGCTCCTTCTCCCCCTGCAGGAGCATGCTCTCATTGTCATCAGGCCTGGGCTCCTTCTCCCCCTGCAGGAGCATGCTCTCATTGTCATCAGGCCTGGGCTCCTTCTCCCCCTGCAGGAGCAGGCTCTCATTGTCATCAGGCCTGGGCTCCTTCTCCCCCTGCAGGGAGTTTCCGTGCTCTGCTCCTTCCCCCCAGCCTCCCCTTCTGTGCCTCTGCTTGGTTGCCATAATCTCCCCACTATGGCAGCCTCCACCCCTAACAGTCATTCTCCTTTAGGAGCCCACCGTGAGGAGGCTCACACTCCTTTCTGCTCTGTTGTGTCCTGATCAGGAAGCCTGATTATGTGCCCCTGTGTCAGCAGCTCTCTACTCCTGCTCCTGCAGACCTGCACAGTAACCCGAAGCCTTCCACCATTATTCCCAGTAGGACAGCTGAACGGACTGTTCTCCGAGTGAAGGCATGTGGCAGAGATCTGCATTAAAGCCAAACACTCTCCTTTGCTAGGAGGTGTCTGTGCCAAGTGGTTTCAGCAGCTTGGGGCGCTGACGCAGGCCTGCCCGCGCGGGACTCGCTGGGCTCACGTCGCGCTTTGGAACGGACCGGGGACGCGGCGCTCCAGCCAGATTGAGCTTTCCATGGTTAGTGCGGCTCGTTCACAGCTCCCACGTACGGGGGGAGCCTGAGCCAGAGCCATGACGAGGCTGCACCACGGTGACGGGGACGGCAGAACACGTGACGGGAGAGGCGCCTGGACTGCGGGGGCCGCCCCTCCCACTCAGAGGCTCCAGCTGGGATCCCCGGCAGAACGTGACGTCGGAATCTCACGTCTCTCAGACTTTGACGCTATAGACACTCCGATTCCAGATGGGAAATCCCACCCGACTCGCTTTACCGCTCCACATAGTTACAATCGTGTGATGGAAGTTTTTTTATGTCTGCCTTTACTATCAAAGGCATTCTGCTTCCAGAACAGGGCTCCCTCTGTCTGAAGACCAATTCAGGCTGTTCGCTGTGAAATGCAGCAGCCGCTAATTAAGCCCCAGCAGATTCCCGTAGGTTGTGGATAAGCACACCCCCACGTCACAGATTACCATTCATGAATTTAGAAATGATGGCACCCTACCAGCAGAGGGCGCTGGTGGCAGGGAGAGATCACGACAGAGGACAATACTGAGTTATTTACTGAACATTACAGAAATAAAATAGAGAAAGAATTGCTCTTCTGAAAGGTAATTCAGTTTAAATAAGACAAAGATCAATGGAAGACTGTGGACATGTACATCTGTGAGGGTAAACAAAATGCAAGCCCCCCCCCCGAAGCTTTCAAACAAGTCAGACCTCTAACCAATCAGAACACAGAAGGCAGGGTTTAGCCAATCAGGCCTTTTATTTAGAACAGAGTGGCAGATTAGTGACAGACTCACATTCTGCAGATAAGAACCATCCTCACAGACAGACAGACGCAGCATTAGAACAGATTCAGATGTTAAAAATGCAAATGTATAAAAACACAATGGGCTACAGAAAGAATATTTCTGATTTAGTCTCAGCGGACGCCTGCCTACTCTTGGCACTCTGAGACTACCTTGTCTATTTGGCTAAAATCAGTTTCAAATGGGTACAAACGCCTACAGATTTCAACAGTACCTTAGAAAAAATAGCAAACACCAAGAGTTCATTGTTTGCTACGAAAAAAAAGTTCTGTCATACCTCTGCAGATTTATATAAACCGAATATTTTGTTTCTAAAGTGTTAATTTTGGTAAAATTCTGTACAGGGCAGAGACACGCGTGACGCACTCTACAGGGGATTATTGACGGTCGGGGGGGGGGGGGGGGCTCCTTTCCACAGTGGAGTCATCTCTGCACAAGTGAGGCATTGGCCAGGTGTGGATGGGTGAGTGTGAGTCTGCAGAGGAGTGCAGTGTGGGTACAACCGAGATGGCAGGTAGGGTATACAGGGACTGGGTGGCGCTTGCTGATGATGTCACAAGGCCGGGCCTGTAGCGGGAGGCCAGCTCAGTAGTAAACTCCCCTTGTCCATATGGGTAACCAAATGGCACACTAGCATGTGCGCTTCACGCTAGCATGCACCTATACACACACATACACACCTGGGGGAGATACGTACACCTGGATTAACTGGCACACCCTGACATCAGGTGGTCTGGGGGTGGGTTAGGGTCACATGACAGCCTTCATCCTCACATTCATACGGGCAGTTTGAAACTCACACTAACATTTGCCTACAGTGCTAAGTATAATATTCATAAGCTAGAAGTACTGGTGTACTGTTGTAGATAGTGTTACAGTCTTCATAGTAGAAAGAAAATGTTACACCCAGCCAGCCCCCCCCCAGGTCAAACGTTGCTCAAATGTTACCCAAAGGTTCCCCAAACACGCGAGCCCTGGCGGCTTGAGCGACGTGCTGCAGGTAGGGGGCAGTGTTGGCAAGGAGGGCCAGGTGCAGTGTGGCAGGCGACGCCGGTTCGGGTGTTAAAACAGAACCACAAGCCGCTTTTGGACCAACAAACACTTGTGCTTAGATGACAGAACAAAAGACACACACACACACACACACACACACACACACACACAGATGTAGATATGCTGATACCCATCTCACAAAGATGATGATAAGGAGGAAGATGATGCCAATAATGGTGGTGATAGATATGTCGTACAGTGTGTATTTCTGTTACATGCGGGTGGGGCAGGGCACATACTCAGACGGGTGAAAACTGCCCTATGCCCCCCAGGGACATACAGGGACAAAAGATGAGTACATAAAAAAAGAAAATAAAATGAAGATATTTACATCATAAAACTTTCCTGCACAGCTATATAAACGCTTCCGGTTATATTATACTTTTTAAACGTTTCCTTCATGTGATCTTGGTATTTCACCAGTCATTATTACTATTGATCACACATCTCAGCAGGGCTGGGTAGCTGGGAAAGCTCCGAGAGCAGACGGGAGACTTTCCGGCTCAGCCCTGAACAGGAATCCCAGCTAATTAGAACCTTCCGGAATCGATCGAAGACGCAGCGCCCCCCATCCTGTTAATCACCGGGGGCGTGGCCTCCTTTCCCTGGGGACAGGCGTAATGGGGGCATCGCTGAGCCAAAGACTTCGTGGCTACTATTGTAGCAAGACCCCCGGACTCTGCTGTCATATCTATTGCTATGTTAGAGATCCAGCCTCTGGTCTCTGTTTATGCCCATGAATTAGAATGACTGCACAGGTGTAAAATCCACTTTGATTAGGAAAGATCAGCGAGGGACATTGATTTGCAGCGTGTCCCTGGTAACTGGAACGGCAGCGTAACCGGTGAAAGTTGCGCCCCTGATGCCGCTGCATTGTTCGCTTGCTCGGGAGGAACGTTCTGGTTCTGTGACGCAGGGTTAAGGCTACAAATGAATCATGCCTGCAGTGTCACGGGTCTTGTTACTGTTAGGTCTTTGGCCAGGCAACGCAGACCGGTGCATAAGGGAGGTTTATGCAGCCTGGTGCGGGGAAGCAGTGAGCGAGAGAGCGCGTGTGCGGACGTGTGTGTGTGTAATTAGTGGTCTTGGAGCTGGTGGCTTTGCGCCTCCAGTGGGCAGTATGTGTGGATGCCCGTTGCCGCCCTCAGCTGGTTTGTGCACGGAACACGTGCCCTCGTGACACACATGCAGACACGTGTAACCTCACACACTAACAGCAGTCTTGCTAGTATGTAGACACGCACACACACACACACACGTCGAGCAGATCACTACAGCGGCCCACGTGGCACCTTCCAATGAAAGGCACGCCTTGGAGCGTGTGTGTGTGTGTGTGTGTGTGTCTCACCATGCGTGACCGGTGCACATGACGCTGCTGCTTGTGACCTGTGCTCTCCTCCCTCTCCACCTCTCTCTGCCGCTCCCTGTGCTGCCAGAGACCAGCACATACCAACCAAACTGCCCAGGCATTACAGCTTCTACAAAAATCGTCATTACCGATCGTTATCATACTAATACTAAGAATCACTTTACTTTACAAACAAAGCGGTACTCTGCGTTTCCTGTGTGTTTGATCGCAGTGACTTTCTTCTTCACCTTGCGCTTTTACATTTTTATTTCCCGTTTCTACTTTTCTTTCAGGCGACAGTGAAGTCCAGCGTTCATGGAGAGGTCCTGTAGGCACTCTCAGAGAGACGAGACACGGGGGCGGGGCAGGGGGAGGAAACGGAGGGAAGCGGAAATTGGTGAGGAGGGGAGGGATCGGGGTGGGCGGGGCAAGGGGGCGGGGCCAGTCTTATGCATAGAACTCCTCCTGCTTGTCGGGCTTCTGGTAGGTGACCGTGGCCTGTTTGGGCTCCTCCAGTGTGTAGCTGCCCTCGTCTTTCTTCTTCATGCGATAGACCAACAGCATGACCAGGAAGGCGGCGAACAGGGCCCCCACCACGCCGCCCACGATCACCGCTGCCCGGGAGAGAGAAGGAAACACCTTAGTGCCACCACAAGCAAAGGACACAGGCGTTCACACACACATGACACACACAGACACGTTACACAAAGATGATGCTTCTCACACACTAAGCGAGGTCACTACTAGCTCTCTAGCTAAACCCTGCTGCTATGGCTACACTAGCGCAGCCCAGTGGACACCCTGTACTACAGCTCACTGTGCCTGTTACCTATCATCAGGAAGTCTGCAAAAACCATTGCCAGCAACCCTCCAATAAGAATAGCTGGAGAGAGATGAGAGAGAGCAGCATCAGTATGACCTGAGCCCGGACGTACCAAGGAATGAACCTGGGCGGAGCCTGACTATGGCTAACATCACCAAGAGCAATAATGGGTGAACCACAAACTAGAAATGCTGACGGCGCTGTAAGTGGAGTACGTGTTGGAGCGCTACAATGCTAACGGCGCTGTAAGTGGTGTACGTGTTGGAGCGCTACAATGGTAAAAATTTATCTGTGCTATTAAGTCACAGATGCTGTTTATAAGTAGCATCTGGAGCTAAGAGGCCTGAAAGTACAGGCGCTACATTCCTGCGGCTCATGGGACTGGTAATATGCTAGGTATCCTACACCGATTTCAAGTGCTCTAGGAACTAGAGCGACGACACTGCAACTTAGGGGCTATAGCTTCGCTACATGTGCCAGAAGTGTTTATGGTGCTTGGAGAGGAAGCCACCTCTAGATGGAGAGGCTAGGCATCTTCCTGTCGGGTTTTTTTTTTATCTCTTCTGTCCATTACTTATTCATAGGTTTGCCAGTGTGTTGACATAAATGTGCATATTTGAATATATGAGCGTGGCCTTTCAGGGTTTAGCAGGCGCTTTTAAACACTCTGCTCTGTGTGTAACAGTGTGTGAGTGCATACAAATGGCTCACCTATGAGGACCTCCTTCCTCTCCAGAATGTTCTTCTGGGGCAGCTGTGCCGCGGAGCTTCCTGTGTCCACAGTGTTTCCTGTCAGGTCTGCTTCTGCCCCCCCGTCGGCCACGCCTCTGCTGCCTGGGCCCACCTCGTTGCTCTGGTGACCATCGCCTTCCACGATCTCGGAATCGCCGCTGGGCCCGGCTCCGGCCACCTCATTGCTGAGCCCCTGGTCAGGAGTCTGGGGCTGTGAGGAGGGAGAAGGGGGGGGGAGGTTATTTCAGTGGTTCTGTGCACCTTGTCTCTGTGTGTGTCTGTGTGTGTATGCATGTGCAGAGAGGTACCTGGGCCGTGGAGGTGGGTGGAGGCTGCGTTCTGCTCGTCGTG